CGACTACGGTAGATTGCACAATTCACATAACTAAATATTTTCATTCACTATGCGTTTTAATGGGCCGATGCATCTCCACGGGTGACCCGAGCTTACTGGAAGATGTGTGATTTTATCGTGTCACCATCTCTAGAACGGTTGCCAACCAAGGCTATAGAAACCAGTCTGTCCGGCTATTTAACCTATATCTGGGGGAGAAAGGGTGAATTCATATCTTTCTCAGTGGTATTTGCACGTAAGTAAATCCAACGAAGTTGACAGGAACTCATATTTCCGACTTTTCATTTCGAAGCTCAATCTATTGCACCACAGGCACATCCACCCAGCTCACCATTATTTTCAATGATTTGTTGTCACTTATCAAAAAGTTTTTCGATATATTTTGAGTACAATCTCGCCGGTTTTAATGTGACAACATTTTCGACCAACTCTTCAATCTAGTTTTCATTAGAGCACTTTTTTTCTTGTTATTCCCATCAAAGCGTTTTGCAGCGATCGTACAAAGCCATGTAAATGCGGCGTATAGGGGTAGAACAGACCAACCGAGTTCCAGATGTGTTCTTTTGTTATTCTTGTTGTATTGGGCTATGCATTGTCAAGTCGGAGAACAACATCATTCTGACTGACAAGCACAGTATGTCTTTCAAACAAAATCTATGGACAGGTTCCTGCTGCTGGACGTTTGAATATGCATGAATAATAATATTTCATTGCGTTTTATAAAATCAAATATCCCGACGATCCCACCGCATGTATAATATTAATTTTCTTCTCGTGGTGCACAGCTTTTGTGGTCGCTTGCTGAAAATAATCTTTGTCAAGAAACTGTATTTGTACTGTAAATTTTCAGATGTGATCAATTTTTCATCAACCTTTATTGCATATTTAAAAAAAAAAGTTTGTTTAGCATGATGAAGTTGGAATTACAACTCCAAATACAGAGTTGAGTTTGAACTCTACTCGGGTTTGTTATATTGACTTACGCTCAAATACTCTTCTAACACAGCTATGGGTTAATTAGTAAAACTTGTATCACTACTACTTTTGCCCAATGTTTAATAATGTTGAAAAAAAAATTACTATTTAGGAGACTTCGATGCTGTGTAATGGTTAGCAATCATTTCTCGCTAAATCAATTTCAATTGAGTAATAAAATTCATCCTCACTAAATGCTCTATACTACAGAAAACCGGAAAATTTCCCCTTAAAGGAACAATGTTTGACTAATAACATCGTATATAGGGCTACCATTGAATAACTCCTCTCCATAAATTATATTGTCTCGAATGAGTTCATCCTTTTTATTTTTTTTTATTTTTCGATCCTGACTTGGCTTCTAGACTTCAGTTACTTTCTCACCGATGTGATATGGCTTCCTTCTCTCTTTTCTACAAATATTTTCATGGCAACTGCTCTGGCGAGCTTTTATCTCTGGTGCTCTGACTACATAAATTTAAGCGTGCATACTAGATTGGCATCTAAGTGCCACACTTTCACTGTTGAAACAGGTAAATGCAACTACCATTTCTACCCCAACAGTTTCTTTTCTCGCACTTCCCGCTTGTTGAACTGCCTTCCATTTAGTTGCTTCCGTGATAACTACAATCTTCAAAAATCTAAATGCAACACCAATCGCCATCTTCTATCTTCTTGAATCCCGATCATCTTATGTCCTTTCCTCAGTAACCCTCTGCATTGTAGAGGCATTCTCGCTTTGCTTTGGGTGAAAAGATTAAATATATATATATGTTTATATTTACATGGTGTCCATAAAGTCTCTTTACAATTTTAAATACTTATTACAAAAGCAAATAAACAGATAAATATGTGGAAAATGTTACAAAAGGAAAGGCAGATATTGAAGTTTTTTACAACTAATTTAATACACCCATTTATGAGTACCATTAGTTGCACGAAGCCCATAAAGTCAATAGTCGATTTTTTTGCCATGTTCGCTGTAGCAAAGCCTCATTATTAATGGCAATGGCATCATTGATCTTTTGCCTTTGATCGGTGATGTCCCGTATCTTTGTTTGATATACGATATCTTTAACATAGATAAAACGTTAACCACATTATAAAGAAGTCCAGGGGAGTGATATCTGGTGAACGAGGTGGACAGGAAATTGGGCAATCCGTTTCAATCCTCAGGTCTGGCAATGTTAGGGGTTCATTTAACAGTATCTCTTTGATCAACTGAAATGCATAAATGCAATGTGATTAAAAACTTTGACAATGACTGAGTAGAGAGAACAAATCTGACTAAGATATCTCATCAATTGCCTTTTGTAATATAGTTTTACACTGTAAAGAGACATTGTGGAAATATATATATATATATATATATATATATATATATATATATATATATATATATATATATATATAAAAAAAAAAAGAGAGGTGCCGCAAACGTTTTTTAGTTGTAATGTGGATTTATTTAGAAAAATATTATACTTTGTTTTACATAATTTTTGACGACACGTGTTTCTGGTCTCGCGACCGTCTTCAGGTAAAAAGTGGAGATTTCCACATATTATTAAAAATAATTAATTTTTCCTCATGTTCAATGTTAAATATTCTCGATATGAGACATTCTCTGTTTGTGTGTTGGTAATCCGAATTTCCTTCTTGGATTGGCAATGAAGAGTTCTGCGCGAAGGGTAATTCCTCGTAGTAAGACAGTATATGTATGGAGGGGAAATATACGCACGCATATATACACGCATGCTGACAGAAACGCACCAAAATGGAAACAGATCCAAGAACACATAGGGGTCAGTAAAACATTAAAAGATAAAATACCGATAACTAATTCATCATTTCGCTGGACCAACCTTAATTGTTTTATGACCCTTCACACAAACAGAAAATGTCTCATATCGAGAATATTTAACATTGAACATGAGGAAAAATTAATTATTTTTAATAATATGTGGAAATCTCCACTTTTACCTGAAGACGGTCGCGAGACCAGAAACACGTGTCGTAAAATTATGTAAAACAAAGCATAATATTTTTTCGAAATAAATCCACATTACAACCAAAAACGTTTGCGGCACCTCTCTTCTCTTCTTTTTAATATACATACTTTTCTCTCGTTGGAACCACTACATTATATTTCTTTTATATATATATATATATATATATATATATATGTGTGTGTGTGTGTGTGTGTGTGTGTGTGTGTGTATTCAATTGTTTCTTTAAATACAATGGTTCAAAGCTTTAGACAATTTCGCTGTTACCCCGTATATATATATATATATATATATATATATATATATATATATATATATATATTTTTTATACGTTATTTTATAGACACAATTTATTGAAGTAAATGCTCTCTTTTTAGTTAAACAGTATTAATTACATATACCGGTCTGAATGTTCGAGAAATTTCTTAGAAAATATGTGATCTCCGGCAGGAATCGAATCTTTATTCCTATACGGAAATCTTCATTTTATCTGACGTGTTATACCATTTAGCTACAGAGAAGCGTCTGGTTTTCAAAGTTCAAATTAAAGTGTATTCGTTACACACACACACACACACACACACACACACATAGAGATAAACACACAATCTTTGATGATTTTTCTGGATCGATCATTTATGCTCACGAAACGTATCTTAACGTAAATAATGACAACATATAATGAAATGGATATAGTCCGGCTATTATTTAATTTTTATACGTTATTTTTATGAATGCAATTCATTTAAGAAAAGGCTCTGTTTTTAATTAAACAGTATTGATTACATTTACCGGTCTAAATCTGTAACAAATTTCGTAGAAAATGTGTTTTAGTTAAAAACAGCGTATATGTCGAAAATTTCTTCGAGTCAAGGGTAATCAAAGTCGGTCCGGCATTAAGTGATTGCTAAATACGCCTAGTTTTGCGGCCCAAATTTAAACAGTTTTTTTTTTATTTATGTATTTGACGTTATGCGACAGTTTTGTTTTTACAAACATGGTCAGCCCGTTGTGGCCGTTTTCATAGTTAATGTCACTGAGTGTTGTTTTTTTTTTTTATAAATAGTGTTTCTATTATTTTGATTTTTTTTTTTTTTACATATGGATGAGTCTATTAATCTTGTATTTTCTACTAGTATGTTGTGGATGAATTTTGGTTAGGTTTCTGAGTGCGCTTAAATGAGTCCTAAATAAGCTATGGTCTGAGTTGTATACCGTGAGTCGTCTAGATAGGCATGTCTTTCGCACTTTATGTCGAGAAATGAAAGCACTTACACGATCACAAAAAAAAATAAAATAAAATAAAAAGCTTAATCGCACTGCCTTGTTAAACTTCTGAATGAAAAGTATATCTGAGTTTCCTATTTCGTTGATCTGATATAAATCAATGTGTGATATAAATCAATAATTTGAAAACATATTTGCTTCATGCTGCGATGGATACGGGTGAGTTTCTGTAATCAATTCATCCTTAGTTGTACCTCCAAAGAAGATGTCAGTCTATTGATTGACTATGTTTTATTCATTTCATGTCTCAGTTGGAAAAATGTTAACATCATGTCATTGACGCAGCTGCAGTGCAAGTCAATATGGCCCCCATCAAGTCCGGATATTAATCCTGCAGACTTTTCGATATGGTTCATGTTTCCCATATCTCAAATGCAATTGTGGTAGGTATGAAGTTCTTTTAACGTTGTGATACAATCTGAGCGATGAGGTGGTAAAGTTAATACACCTCGGTTGAAAAGAAATTAAAGACTATGGGGAAAACAAATGTTGGTCATTCAGAATTTTAAATACACCCTGGTGCAAATTAATCGTCCAGTATTCACTGATATACAGTTGCACGGGCTTTTCTTTATTCGAGACGATTTTATAATTAAAACTTATGAACTGGTCCTTTCTTGAGTTAGACGATAAATAAATACATCCCACATATACGACAGAAGTCCATTACACACACCCTTGTGCTAACTGAAATAAAACGAATTCCTTTATTATTTAATTTTTTATGTAAACAGGAGACAGATAGATAGATAGATAGATAGATAGATAGATAGATAGATAGACCCTTGTGCAAATTAAATGAATAATCCCGTTAGAATTTACCTTCCTTTCGTATTTTTCCAATGAAACATGACCCATTGCAGATGTAAGTACTTCGCATGCCCATTCCACGAAGTCGTTTTTGCTGATTGACCACAGATTCTCGACCTGATTTAAATCAGTGGAATTTCCGGGCCAATCTATAGAACTTTGATATTCTCCCTGGTAAGGCGTGCCATTGTGTCCGTGCAGCATTACAATTTTCGTAAGCTTCCTTGCAGTAACGTCCATTGCAGACAATGGCCGTAGGACAACTAATCGACAGTCGAAACAATAGTGTTTAGGTGTGATAAAAATCTGATGCAATAATTTTCAATGCCAAACAAATTTCATCATACCCGCCGAACACAGATTCATATTACTGCACACCACTGCAAATGAACTAACCTGGGAGAAAAAAAAATCGATTACACCCTGTCATTCCGTATGAAACTAAAACGTCCGTTTCAATTAATTTGCACAACGGGGTTTATGTAGAACATTGGCAATAGTAGTAGCAATCATCCTGTAAGCAGTTCATTAACCAAAACCTAAAACTTTTACGATGAAATGAATAAATGGGTAAGTATGCTTGCTGCAACGGGTATATGATTTTATTTATTTATTTAAATAAGACGCCTTTATCAATCCCAAATCTATTGTAATAAACAAATTTTATGGTGTGTCCGCCCTGTCGATGAGAAATGATAATCAAAATTACATTTTTTTACACTGGACGTTATTTGACCAGAGTTTGAAAAAAGAGAACATTTTATCTTCATCCAAATATTTTATATCTTCCTGGAAATAACGAGAAGTCTACTCAGTCTAAGTAACCCGGAAAGTATATATATATATATATATATATATATATATATATATATATATATATATATATATATATAACTTTCACAAGTAAAAGCACGTAAGTGAATGTAATGGATTCGACTAGAACTCGGCTCTCAGATTCCAAAGTCCAAGCCGCTATCCACCCAGCTATGGGTAAATAGCAGGACCGACTGGGTTCTATAGCCTTGAATGTCAACTGGTCTAGCAGAAGGATAACTTTAAATTCAAAGCCAGCGGTGCGTCGTTTGGGGACCTTGTTGTACATTGTGAACCAGTGCCCTGCATTCGACCCTTGAAAAGTTGTGGTTGGTTCTCCACAAAGCCTTAACCACTATAATCAAATGATTTGTGCAGGTAGTCTGGCTGTTGGTTTCTAGGAAATGAGTTGCTTGTCCCTCATAAGTCCACTATATATATATATATATATATATATATATATATATATATATATATATATATTCTCGAATAACAATCGAGTCCATTCATTGTATAGCTTTGGGTGGCAAAAGATTTCTAGGGGAAGCAAAACTATGAATTCAAAATTTGTTCACGGCCGTTTGGGGACTTTGTGGCATACTGTGCGTCAACTCTATTCGGCTCTTCTGAAAAGTATGTTTTGTTCAGGCCTTTACCATCAAATGTAGGCGATTAATCTGGCTGTTGTTTCTATGAACTGAGGTGGTTTAGCCTCATACGTTAAAAACTATATAGATAGATAAATCCCCGCAAAAAAGATAAAACAAGGAACAAGCAGGAAAAACCCCTAAAAATCTGACAGGTTTCGCTATTTTAACTTTATCAGAATAATTTCCAAATGCATTTTGTCGATGCTAAAAGAAAACAAGTCAATGTGTCAAAATTATAAACGTTAGGCTACGTGTTTCTTATTTAATCATATACGTTATTTAATTACACACACACACACACACACACATATGCATATATATATATATATATATATATATATATATATATATATATATATATATACCGTGTAACAGCGAAATTGGCTAAATCCTGCAACAACAAAACTGTCCAATTGTTTGGTTAAGACTCGAACCGTTGTATCTTAGAAATGATTCAATACATCTTACTGGAATACTATTGCACACTAACTTGAATAATAAGAATATGTCTCACACATATTATTTCATTTTCAAGTCTTTCCCACTGATTTTACGTGTCAGACGTCGTATGGATTAAGTTGGACCATTCTTAATTGATCTCTTTAGCTCTAAGTTGAAATGATGATCCCTCTTGCTGTTGTGACCTCCTGATCCAATTTTCCTCTTTACTCTTTTCTGTTTTTTTTTTTTTATTATTCACCGTTCTCTTGATGGTTCTTGATCGTACTTTGAAGATGGAAGCCAGAGTATGAATGTTGGTACCATGACTGAAGGCCTGAATGATCTTTTTCCTCTGACAGTTGATCATTTGGAAAGACAGTGGGTGTTCTGTTTCTAGCTGAGTAAATAAGAGGATTTTTCAGTGATTCTTACAATAAATGGTGTCATGACGGCTTAAAGTCATATCTGAAAACTTGGAAAAAAGAAACTCAGTTTGTTTAATGTTTTTTTAGATAGTAAAATTTTTGTGGGATGGGCTGTTATCCCGTGCAGTTGGAAAAGATTTGGACACTTTTGCTGTTACACCTGGTATATATATATATATATATATATATATATATATATATATATATATATATATATATATAAATTTACCCACGCACGCATGGACTCTCCCAGCTATAAATAGGAGCAGGTACTGCCTTTTTTGGAGAGGAAGTTTCAGCAGTCAGCTCTGACAGTCGGACCGAAATTCTTTGCTGTAACACTCTCGTCTATATATGTTTGTATTACTGTTTCTGTTGATATATTTCCTTAACTCATTTCCTCTCTTATGTCGTTATTTCTGGCTCTAACAAGGCTTCAACAATAGTAAACTGCAAATGTTTTATATACATATTTAAAATTTACATATATAGTTATGCCCTACAGGAGAATATTTTGGGGTCACCCTGCAGTTATTAAATTAAAATGAAATATAATTGCATTTTTTTTTTGGTAATGGTGAACTACTGTAACTTCAGTCTTTTTGATTTTATTTTAACAAAAATAAAGCATCATATTTTTTTCATCAATAAAACTACCGCTTGCCTTAATTAGTTCTTTACCAATTCTTTCCAGCAATTTTTGAACAAAAATAAATGTAGACCTTCCGAAACATTCTTCAAGAACTGAAAAGGCCCACGCTCACTTTTAGTGTATTTTCTTTTAAATCTTCTAGCCATATTTAATTCAATGGTATAAAGATCAGGAGCTTTGGGCTGGCCAAATCATAATTTCCAGAGTTTTCTCTTTTTAGGGTCGATGTTATTTTGACATAATTTAGAAGAGTGTTATCTGCTGAATCTTTTTCATTTATGTATAGATCATGGTATAGAACATCTTTTCAATGATACAGACACTGTTTTTTTGTCTTGATTCCCGTGACCTGGATCAAATCTGAAGTCCTATCATGCCAACAAAAAATAACAGTATAACAGATCTCCCACAGCCACCATGCTTAAATGTTATAACAAGACATTCATCATTCGATGTTTCTTCTAGCTTTCTTCTCACACTTTTCCTCTTACTACCAAATAATTCAAATTTGAACTCCTCTGTCCCCAATTCTTATTTCCAGTTCCGATTCTTTTTTTGCAAATCATAGTCTTTTATATTTATTCTATCTTTAGCTTTTCACCCCAAGCCAGGATTTTTTTTTAATATCGTAATCTTTTACGTAATTTTTCTTACCTTATGAAGAGAGTCTTAGACATGTCGTTTCGAGTATAGAATCCAGAGGTTAGCAGTGAATATTTCGGAGCAAAGTAGGAAAGCGTAGTTCTTCCTTCTGTCATCTTCGCCGGACAAGTTGGCACTGGTCATTCGGGTAGGGTAAACAAAAAATGGCCGCCTTTATACACGACGGATACAATGTTCTGCGTCTTCTGATTGGTTAACCTTCTATTGGTAGAATATAAAGGGAGTTAAGTTATTTTGACTAACTCACTAGTTACATGTCATATACACAAAAAACTGTAACAGAGAGTCATTATTATTGTAGCCCTGTACCAAGTTTAGCATAACTTATGAGAAGGCTTCTTGCAGTGCAGGATTTACCTGTAGGCTTAGCAGGCTAATGCCAAGGGCTTCAGTCAAGGTGTATAATATTTTTGGCACTCTCATAAGACTTTCTTATACGTGCTGTCATAACGCATTACGCCTTCAGTAATTTTAAATACCCATCATCATCCCCGGTTTTACTGAAATTGTTTAATTTAACACTTTTCCTTATTTTTCTACTCATGAGAATGGGAGATTTTGAAGGGTGTCACAAGTGAAATAGCCTAGAGCCTATCTTTATCTAAATCCGGGCTTGGATTCTTATTATCGTAGTTTTGTCAAATTTATCTCAGGAGATGATGTCATATTATACCAAGTGTGCCAAGTTCTCCTTAGCTAATGAAAGGGTTTTTAATATCGTAAATTTTTACCAATTTTTTCTTACCTTATGAAGAGAGTTCTTATTGTAGCCTTGTACCAAGTTTAGCATAACTTATGACAAGGGTTCTTACAGTGCAGGATTTACCTGTAGGCTTAGTAGGCTAATGCCTAGGGCTTCAGTCAAGGTGTATGATATTTTTGACAATGTCATAGGCTTTTCTTATGCTGTCATAACGCATTATAGACTCTAAATAACCCTTCAGTAATTTTAAACACCCGTTATCATCCCCGGATTTACTGAAATTGTTTAATTTAACACTCTTCTATATTCTTCTATTCGTGAGAATGAGAGATTTTGCAGGGTTTCGAAAGTGGAATAGCCTAGAGCCTATCTTCATCTAAATCGTCCTAATTGCATATTATAAGTTTTATATATATATATATATATATATATATATATATATATATATATATATATATATTTGGTGTGGTGGGGGTGAAATTTTATTATTTAATCTGAGGAACATTAATGATATTCCAAAGAAATCTTACTGGTCTTCGGACTTATTTGCCTCTTCTAATTTGCTTTGATTTACGTTAGGACGGTTTTAAAAATCCTGCATGCAAATGTTTTCTTCGGGACTTTTGT